AATTATAACAAATATTACAAAAATACATACCGATAAACATGAAAAAAGAAGAACAATAGGGATCAGTGAATAATTGTGCTGATAAGTAAAAAAGAAAATTTGTTCTTTGCTATATTTATTGATTTCATTTTGATGTTATTTCTAGTTTGATAATTCTCATCCGTTTTTATACCTACAAAGCAAATCAGTTTTCAGTCTTTCCTTAAATCGAGAGAGGTTACGTTTTTTAAATGACTCATCAATGGAATTCCAAACTTTGACTCCAACTGATTTGATGTTAAATTTTCCAAAGTTAGTTCTTGCTTTTGGAATATAGAGTGATGATTTGCTAGCAAGCCGTGTGTTGTAATTATGTATAGCTTTTACTTGTGTGAACAATGGATTAAATGATTCAGGTAACCTCTTTGAATGAAAATTGTACATAAACAATGCATTGCTAAAGAAGACTAGGTCAGAAAACTTTAATATTTCAAGCTTTAGAAAAAGAGGACTAGTGTGGGCATCAAAATCAGAAAATGTAATAAGTCTTAATATTGCTCTTTTTTGAAGAATGAATAGAGGTTCAAGAGATGAGCAGTAAGTGTTACCCCATGCAATAATGCCATAGGTTAAGAAGGGGTAGATCAGAGTATAATACAGAGTAACACATATCAATATTGACAAAATGACGGAGCTTAGAGATAATGCCTATATTGCGTTTTAGTTTACTGGATATATGTGAAACCTGAGATTTCCAATTAAGATGACAGTCAAAAATGATGCCTAGGTAATTGATGTTATATTCTCTTTTCAGGGGTTTATGGTTTATGGTTAGTGAAACAGAATGATTGAGTTTCTTCCGCGAGGGGTGAAAGATGACAAAATTGGAGCCATTCATGTATAGATTGTAATTGGTCATTTATAAGAGATTCCAGTTGTATGAGTCTCTTATTTGAAAGAAAAAGATTTGAATCATCAGCAAATAAGTGTAGATCAAGTGAGTTCCAGGTATCTCGTTGAAGGCTTTACAAYTTAATCAACTACTCAACTATTAAACGTGACGTCGACTTCACAGGAGCTTTGTATGTTACGCGTGATAATATTGACAAAAAAGACATATCATGTGCTTACTTGTGTTACATAATCGACATTGTTTTGGCGATTCACCGAGGTTTTTGCTGAATCGACAGAGTTTTTCTGCTGAATCGACAAAGTTTTATGCGTGATGATTGACAAAAAACATGACACGTGCTTATATGTTACGTAATCGACAGAGTTTTGGCGATTGACCAAGTTTTTTTTGCTGAATTAACAGAGTTTTGGCGATTGACCAAGTTTTGTTTGCTGAATCAACAGAGTTTTAGCGATTGACCGAGTTTTGGCAATTGACCGAGTTTTTGTTGAATATTGACAGTTTTTGTAATTGGCCGAGTTTTGGCGATTGACCGGGTTTTTGTGATTGTCAGAGTTTTGGTGATTGACAGTGCTTGTGTTAATCGACCGAATTTTCGCAATTGAAGTATTTTAAGCACTGATTGACACAAAGAAAACATAATGCGTGCTTATGTAATGCAAGGCACTGATAGGTGTACACATTCAAGCGAAGCAACGTAATTGACAAACGAATATTCAATTACAATCAAAATGACAATTTTGAACCATTCCGCGCGCCATATATTAGTCTATTTCACGGATTACTTCATTCTACATCTTGTTATAAAGTTCCAAAGCTTCTTTTCTCGATTGCGCAAAGACAGATGTCTCATATTCACACTGATCTTCTTCCACGTCAGCAGCAGCGATAATAATAACTCTTCCGGCACTTGTGCCAGTGTTGATGTGGTTTGCCTTCTCCACTAACGTCTTGGCCGATTTGTTCGTCTTCATTCCTTGCTTCATGATTGAGTCTGGGAAACCAAACTGCGTCATGTAGTCAGCCAACAAAAGATGATGGGTGTCTCCGCTAACTCTTGGATTTAGATCCACCAGGTACATTCCATGGTCACAAAGCATGATGTCACACATGACTATGCCAAAATACCCTTGCGTGTGCAAGTAATCCTTGACAGGAACGACGAATTGGTCGTAAAAAAGATTCTTATATTCCTCTTGTTTATTCCATTCCACCACTCCATTCGTCCACTTGAATCCTTCAAGACCGCCAACAACAGTGCCCAACCAGTGCATCTTTCCCGAGACGTGTAMATAAAACTGAAAACTCACCACTTCATTCACATCTTCCATGAATTCTTGGTAAATAATATTACCAGTCCAACCACTATCTCGTATCTCTTTTATAATGGTGGAAAACTCGTTCCCGTTGTAAGCGACCCTGTTCCCATAACCCGACCAACTCATGTCGACTTTGACCATACACGGGAAAGAAATGTCGTCCTCAGAGTTGAAATATTTAGGGCACGGTACACCAATATCATGGATTGAACTCTTCAACTGAACTCTGTATAGAACATCAGGATAAACACTGTGTTTACTCTTTGGGAGACTTTGGATGGCAGCGTTAGTGACAATGAGTTTATCGTCCCGTAGTCCTTGACTGACTGGCCGAATGTCTGCATCAGGGAAGTCGGGAAGCCATTTTTTCCAATGTTCTTTCAAGAATGAAGGAGGCTGATAGTCCGATAGAACAGGGACCTCATTCCCAGTCGCAGGAAGGTTACGGCACGGAAAGATAAAGTCAGTGTAGATCTTTGAAGAGGGCGCATTTTCAAAGACGCGGTATTTTAAGTTGTTGTAAAATTTGTTTCGTGGTGAATACGAAGAAGGCCATGCAGGTAAAAAATAGGCATCTTGTAAGTCCTTCTTGATCAGACTTCCAAGGGTCAACAGAGGTTGTTTGATACCTGACATGTCAGCGTACAACGTAGACATTCGCAAAGGTCGCCGCCCGCTTTGTTTTTTCCTGGCTTCGGTCGAATCTAAAAAACACCGGGAAACAAGAGAGGTCGACTTGGGGCAAGTCTACGTACAACGAAGGCTACAATAACCAAAAAAATCAGTACTTAACTTGATCCCTTTGCTCGTGTACAGCCGGGCTCTCATAGAACCACAGGTAGCCCAAGCTTGGTTTCTGTGGTGTCATATTACACCTTTTGCTGTTCATTAACAGAAAATGTACATTCATTTGTGCCAATAGTTGTATCAATAACGTGTAATGTACTTTCATCAACACCACAAGTAACATCATTAGCGCGGATCAACTTTCGATAACGATAATAGCGCAGCGCGCTCATTCTAAAAATAGCTTAAAGATTCGGACAAACATTACATTCTGTTTAACCGCTACGAGGATTATTCGAACCGATTTTATTATTTTTACTTAAAGTTACAATAATAACCCATGTAAACTAAGATCAACTGCGATCGGCTGTGAAAATTATCTGCTGAAAGTAAACTTGTAAGTTTGTTTGTCCGAATTTCGCCTTTGTCTTCGTTTTTATGACGTCACGGCTGCGCTGCGCTATTGAATATGCGTGTACATTCATGGACATCAATGGACAATCAATAGCGCGTTCGTACATTCATATGCGCGGAATGTATTTTCTTTTGCGCGAAATTCAACTTCGATAACACCAAATGACAAACATCGCAGTTTCAGTCATATTGAAATGTCGCCATCAACAGGTCTTGATATGGGTGAACTTTGTACGTGGTTGAAGAAACACAAGGAACAAATCGCAATGGGAGTATAATTATCAAAGGTTGCAGCATCAACATTTTCACATCGATATGACATATTTTCCCATCATTGCAAAAGTATTTTGTAGCCGCAAGAATTAGCTTTTTTCCTCCACAAACTCCGAATGGCAGGTTTCATTGTTGACGTATTTCCGGTGACGTGACCACCCTGAAAACGAAGCTGGCCGTCACGCGGCCGTCAGTTTAGCCATCATTTTGTAAACAAACTGTTGCCCTTTAAAAAGTGTAT